GCTCCTCGTGGGAGCGCAAGGCGGCGCCGATACAGTCATCGATGTAACGGAGGAAGAGGTGGGGGATGGAGCCAGTGTAGCTGCGGAAGAGGGATTGTTCCATGTATCCTACAAAGAGGCAGGCATAGCTTGGGCCCATGTGGGTATCCATGGCCACCCCCTTTGTTTGTAGGAAGTGGGAGGAGTTGAAGGAGAAGTTGTTAAGGGTGAGGACGAGTTCAGCTAAGCGGATGAGGGTGTCAGTGGAGGGGGACTGGTCGGGCCTGCGGGAGAGGAAGAAGTGGAGGGCCTTTAGGCCATCTGCATAGGGAATGCAGGGATAGTATATAGGGATTGGACGTCCATGGTGAAGATGAGGTGTTGAGGACCAGGGAATCAGAAGTTTTGGAGGAGTGGAGGGCATGGGTGGTGTCACGGACATAGGTGGGGAGTTCCTGGACCGGGGGAGAAAATGGAGTCAAGTGGAGATAAGTTCGGTGGGGCAGGAGCAGGCAGAGACAATGGGTCGACCAGGGCAGTTGGATTTGTAGATTTTGGGAAGGATCCAACCATCATTGGTACACTTGCTTTTATTGGTCAGCGCATTGAGTATAGGTGTTGGGAGGTTATGTTGCAGCTGTACGTGACATTGGTTAGGCCAATTTCAGAATATTGTGTTCAGTTCTGGTCTCCTTGCTATAGGAAAGATGTTGATAAACTTGAAAGGGTTCAGAAAAGATTTACAAGCTTGTTGTGGGATTGGAGGATCTAAGCAATAGGGAGAGGCTGAATAATCTGGGGTTATTTACTCTGGAGCGTCAGAGGCTCGGGGGGGAGGTGACCTTATAGAAGTTTATAAAATCATGAGGGACATGGATAAGGTGAATAATCAAGGTGTATTTCCCAAGGTAGGGGAGTCCAAATCAAGAGGGCATACATTTAAGATGAGAGGGGAAAGATTTAAAAGGGACCTAAGGAGCAACTTTTTCATGCAGTGGATAGTGTATGGAATGAACTGCCAGAGGAACTGGTGGAGGCTGGTACAATTACAACATTTAAAAGGCATCTGGATGGATATATGAATAGGAAGGGCTTAGAGGGATATGGGCCAAATGCTGGCAAATGGGACTGGATTAATTTAAGATACCTGGTCGGCATGGATGAGTTGGGCCGAAGGGTCTGCTTCTGTGCTGTACATCTCAATGACGGACCGGTAAGGTCCCTAGGTGAAAAAGGACTTATGAAGGGTGAGGATATCAGCTGTGGTTTGGAATAAAATTGGTTTAGGAGCAGGGAAGTTGGGACTTTGACCATTTGGGCAGTCTGTGAAGGTAACAAAATACGTCTGACCATTTCAGCAGTATATCAGGCTGAGGCTTTGGCCATGAAGGGATGACACAATCAATAGTGAGGCACCAGAGTTTGTGGCTGAACTGAAGACATGCTTTTCCCAATTTTTAAGCAGAAGAAATTGTGGCATAGAAACTCGACTGTCAAAACAAAACAATCTTGAAACACAGAAGCAGTGAAATGACTGAAGTAAAACATAAAGTTGCCACAGTCCTACCAGACCATAGGGCTGCTCTCTCATTAGAGACAACTGGTGGTGGATTAACCTAAAGATCACCATGTCTCAGGCAAAGAGAAATGTTGAGAAGGAGAATCTTTCAGAGTAACCTCAGCTGGTGTGGGAATTGAATCAGATGAAGCTGACAGCATATGCAATCCAGTTTTGTTTGTTCTGATTCACTTTGTTTGTCATTTATAAATAGGGTGAGGTTATGGAAAGGAGAATTTGAATGCATAGTATTTTACATTTTCAGGAAAACATAATGTGCTTGGTGTTGACAGATTATTGCTCATTTCTCTGTATGGATCTAGAATTATGATGCTATCATGCTTAATTCATAATTCATTGGACTTTTGTTAATGTTTTCTAGCAAGACAAATGTAAAAACTTTTAAAAAATAGTTTCAATTGTGGACTGATATCGGAAAAGAACGGATTTAAAACCAATCATGGAATGGAATACCATACTTTAAAAAAGTAAGCTGTTGGCCCTTGTGGGAAATGCTATTTACACTGTTCTTTGTTCAACCATCAGGGAATATTTAGCTTGCATGAGGGAATGTGTACAAAATGAGATGTGGCCAGGAACAAGTAGCTAGATTGGTCTGTGGAGTGATAATAAGTTGTCAATGACAAAGGCCTTCTGGCTGCCAGTAATGATGCAATTGGTTCTCAGATAGCCAAACAGCAAGTTGGTATGAATGAGATGGTTGGAAGCCAGACTCCTGGAAAACCTGCAATATAGGATCGTAGAATTTTACAGTAGAGGAGGCCATTTGACTCATCATGTCTGGATGGCTCCCAAAGAACTACCCATTCTCCAGTCCTATTTCCACAATTGTCTAAATTCATCACGTTCAAACATATATCTAGTTCTCTTTCGAAACCTCCTATGGAATCTACCTCCACCACTCTACAAGGCAGTGCATTCCAAATTGTAACAACTCTCCATGGAGATATTTCTCCCATCTCACTCCTAGCTGTCTTGCTGACAATCTTGAAATTGTGACCCCTAGTTACTGACATACCAATTAGTGGAAACAGAATGTCCTTCTTTACCCTGTCAAAATTGTACATAATTTTGAACACCTCAGTAAGGTCACCTCTTAATATGCTCTGCTCCAAGGAGAATAAACCCAATTTCTCTAATCTTTCCTTGCATCTAAAATCCCTCATTCCTGCTAACATTGCAATAAATCTCCTTTGTACTCTCTCAAGGGCTTTAACATCCTTCCTTAAATAAAGTGACCAGAACAGAACCCAATACTCCAAATGTGGACTGACCAGTGATTTGCAGAGGTGTGGTATTACTTCCTTGCTTTTATGCTCTATGCCTCTATTCGGAAACTCAAGGATCCTATAAGCCTTCTTAGCAACTGTCTTCAACTAGGCTGGCCACCTTCAGAGAATTATGCACGAGAACCCCAAAGTTCCTCGACTTCTGTACTCCCCTCAAGGTTGCATCATTGAGCCTGTATTGCCTCTCCATGTTTCTTCTACCAATACACATTACTTATGTTCTATGTTCTCTGTATTGAATTTCATTTGCCAGTTATCTGCCCATGCGGCCAACTTGTCAATGTACCTCTGAAGTCGCTCAGCATCATCCTCACAATTCACTGTTGTCCCTAACTTAGTATCATCTACAAATTTAAAATTTTGCCCTCAACACCTATCTCAAAATTGTTTACATAAATCAGGAAAAGCAAGAGTTTCAACAAGTGTCCCTGGGGAACAGCACTTTCAACTTGTCTCCAATCTGAGAAATGCCCATCTATTCATACCCTCTGTTTATTATCTTTTAGCCAACATCTAAGCTATGCTGCCAAGGAGCCATCAATTGCAAACATTTCTAATTTGCTAAGCAACCTGCCATGTAGTAACGTATCAAATGCTTTCTGAAAGTCCAAATATACAATATCCATAGCACAGGCATGGGCACTGTAGCAAAAACAAAAATCAAAGTTTACAAAAACTTACAGAACAATAACAGAAACATTAAAATATCGTAAACAGGAATGAAGATGCATCCAGATCTCTAAAGGCCCGTTACTGTGGAGTGGGATACTGCATGCTCTCTTGCAGCGGACACTGGAACGTGGATGTAACCATGGAAGAGGGGCAGATAGTCGAATACAATGACCCCCTACATGGCTCACTGCCTGGACCTGTAAATAGCCACGCTGGCCAGATCCAGGAACAGGCCCAAAAAGAAAAAACCGGGGCTGCAAAAGAATACAATCCAAATAAATATGGAAAACCATTTTCTCCAGGCCAAAAAAACTGCACATGGCTTGGCACCAGTGAACCCAATTAACCTTTTATTGCATGGGATATGTAACACTTGTCTAGGCAGATTCCCATTGGAAAGAGGAAGAACCACCTTACAGTTGCTCTCTATCTGGGATCTCTGCTACTGGAAGCAAGGATGTTGTATCAAGCAGCAATTGTCAGGAAGTGGTGTACAGCAGCAACCCATACATGAAACCTCTCTATGCTGATTTAAAGGGTACTGAGGGAATTTCTCAGATTTGGCTCAAACTGAGAATGCTGGAACCAGAGGGAGGTTTCAGTATCCAGGCCCAACATCAGGTTCTGGATGTGTATGACAGTCATTTTTGGGGTGGGGTGGTGGTGCTCACTGGAAGCTCATTGAATGAATGAGCTGCCTCGATTCCCTATGCGTTCCAGGTCTGAGCACCAGTCAGGAGGCTCTGTCTATGTTCTAGATATTGACTGATGCCCTAATAACCAATGGTGCCAGTGTCATCCAGCCCACTTTTCCACAATCAACATATTCCCGAATTTAGCCAGCCAAACATCCCAAGCCCTCTCTTCCATCAACCACCTGACACCTCTCTGATGGATGAACCTATTCCTGTGCAGTGGTTCCCTCATAACAACCACACTCCTTCAGGGTGTGTGCTCCAGCATGAGATGACCATATCATAAACCTTGATCAGATGTAAATAAAAGATAGGCAATTCTTGAAAGAAAGCCTGAGGACTTGTCCACTCCATAATCAGGAATGGCACGTCATGACTGAAACCATGCACCTGACAGAAGAGGAGTCATCAGGATGCATCACGTTGGACAAAGGTCATTGCAGAATTACTGCTGCAGATTATGAAGGTGAAAAGTCACTAAGTGCAGAGGTACACCAATTCTCAGGAAACTCAGTAGTGACTTGGCATTACTTTATGCCCCAGAAAAACTTTTCTCTGTATGTCTGTGACAAACATGAAAGGGACTAAAGGACCAGCATTGAAATCAGTTTATGCAGCAGAGTTCATTGATCACATGCACTTTGGATGAGATACTGAATTAATGTGTATTGCTTTTTGTGCAACTGCATTTCAAAATAACTAAATTAAATAAAGCAACTTCGAATTAGTAGACGTATATTCTTCTAAAAACATATTTCTACTGAAAAAGGCTCAAAACAACGTCAATACTTTTTACAAAAACCTTTTATTTCAGAAATTTTAAGAAGTTAAAAAGTGTAAGAGAACAGTCGAGTGAGAGTGTAAGAATCAGTTATCAGCAAATATTTACAGACAGGCAAAATTGGAACTAAAAATCAGAAACATCTTTCTGAAATGGTTTTCCACAATTCTGTATCTTTCCACAGGCACTTTCAGTCTTAGATTGTTCTTCATACAAAAATTTAGAAAATAGCCGTTTGAGGGCTATTCAGCCCAGTTCTCATTCAAAGTCAATCATGTGCATTTTCCCCAGCAGTTGCTAGGAGCAGGAATCATGTTTGACTTTCACCCATGAAGAATGTCCACACTACATGCCTAGGAAAACCTGTGCCACTGAGTACTACTTCATATAAAGTAGCATTATAAGGCCATTACTAGAATTTTCTTGGTCTACATAGCTTAGTACCAAAATTGGCAGTGCACATATTAACTGGGTGTAGATATTTAGAAACTTAGAATAAATCATCATCATCAGAGTCCTCCAAGTACTGAACAGGCTTTTTTGCACGGCTTGTCACTCTAGGAGGTGCTCCATCTAGATCAATACTTGAATTGGAGTCTTCATCAATATCGATATGGTAACTGTCATCTTCCACCGTCTTGCTTTTCTGAGGAAAACCATGATTAAAAAAAACAAGTTAATAGGTTTGGAAAAGATTTATAAGGATGTTGCCAGGGTTGGAGAGTTTGCAATGTAAGTAGAGGCTGAATAGACTGGACTATTTTTCCTGGAGTGTTGGAGGCTGAGGGGTGACCTTATTGAGGTTTATAAAATCATGAGGGAGATGGATGTAAATAGACAAGGCCTTTTCTCTGAAGAGGGCGGGGGGTGGTGTCCAAATCTATAGGGCATAGATTCAAAGTAAGAGGGGAAAGACTTGAAAAGGACCTAAGGGGCAACTTTTTCATGGAGGGTGGTACGTGTATGGAATGAGCTGCCAGAGGAAGTGTTGGAAACTGGTACAATTATGACATTTAAAAGGCATCCGAATGGGTACGTGAATAGGAAGGGTTTAGAGGGATATCGGCCAAATACTGGCAAATGGGACTAAACATATTTAGGATATCTGATCAACATGGGCAAGTTGGACTGAAGGGTCTGTTTCTGTACTGTATATCTCTATGACTGTATAATAATTTGAGCTCTTTCGGGCTGTTTTATTAAAAGATTGAGGGAGGCCAAAAGTATATTCAAATGAATATGCAAGTAAAGCCACAAAAATAAGTTAACTCAACGGAAAATGAACATGAAATTTCAAAATCAATAGTAAAAGCACTACTTATGTAATATGGTGCCAAATGTCTATCTACGAGTGCTCATCAACTAAAGCTATAATCAAATGGTCATCATTAAATTATAATCATCCAAGCATGTAACAGGAGACTAGATCACTGCAGGGACATCACCACTCCTCAAGTCTTTTATCAATGTTCACATTCACAATTTTCAACAGGTAGTACCACATAGTAATTAGGAACAAAAACTCTGGCTAAATTTACTTTCTGTAATTCAGGAGGACTACAACCTCTCCTGTGCACCACCAACCTAGTTCAGAGCACAGCAGATACACCAAACCACCCTCACTTGGAATGAGAGATAGTAGGAACTGCAGATGCTGGAGAATCCGAGACAACAAGGTGCAGGGCTGGATGAACACAGCA